CAAAAAGGCAAGTCAAGGAATCATATGTAAATGCTTTGAAACTTTTAAGACCTATGGTCTAGAGTCTTTTTCCCAACATCACAAATTTTAATTAATTTTAATTGACACATTTTTTAATGCATGTTTATAAAACTAGTAGTAATCAAAGATTAGAGCAATGTGTTCATGTGCATACTTTGCATGCTTGGTCTACTTTGGTGGTGTTTGAATGGCTCGATAGAAATTAACAAATCGACGCCACTTTCTCATGTGTCTGTCTTGTTATTGATCATGATTGTCAAAGTAGCTGTGGGTCCATGAGGCGATAGCCAAGTGGATCTGTAGACTAATTTGACAATGTTATGACAAAATTCATTGTCAATGACAGGACAGATGCATGAAAAACTGAGGTCAATTTGTTTTTTATGATAACAAATAATCAAATTGTCTGCTCTCACTCGTTGCATCAATGCATAAATTATAAATTCACTGTCTGCCCACTTACTGACAATGAAAATTAGCCAATGAGTGTGCAAGAATTNTAGAAATATACATCAACTTGCATAATCTTCAACTTGGCTTTTTTATGTTACAAAAAGGCAAGTCAAGGAATCATATGTAAATGCTTTGAAACTTTTAAGACCTATGGTCTAGAGTCTTTTCCCCAACATCAAAATTTTAAATTAATTTTAATTGACACGTTTTAGTGCATGTTTATAAAACTAGTAGTAATCAAAGATTAGAGCAGTGTGTTCATGTGCATACTTTACATGTTTGGTCTACTTTGGTGGTGTTCAAATGGCTCGATAGAAATTAACAAATCGACGCCACTTTCTCATGTGTCTGTCTTGTTATTGATCATGAATTTCGTCATAACATTGTCAAAGTAACTGTGGGTCCACGAGACGATAGCTGGGTGGATCTGTAGACTACTTTGACAATGTTATGACAAAATTCATTGTCAATGACAGGACAGATGTATGAAAAACTGACGTCAATTTGTTTTTTATGATAACAAATAATCAAATTGTCTGCTCTCACTCGTTCCGTCAACGCATAAATTATAAATTCACTGTCTGCCCACTTACTGACAATGAAAATTAGCCAATGAGTGTGCAAGAATTTCTGCAGTTATTGTAAAAACTAAGTTTGATTGAATGTCAGATAATGGCATGATCTGTACACGAAGTTAAACTAGCGATGAACAGATTATAGCCTGCAGAAAAAGTGTTTTTGATTAATTAAGTATTA